TTAGGGAAACCATTTGGAACAAAGTGAGTATTACATTGACTTTTCGTGTTTTACGAAGAACATACATTGCTTACTTTATATAAGTAGTTTAAACTTGTTCAATTTATATTTTTCAGCTTATATTTATACATATATATACACACACCCATTGAACTTGTATATTTGCAATAATAATGTTTCTTTAGAGAGAAGAAGATAAAAATACTATTTTCCTCAAATGCATTTCTCATCTTTTTGCCAAGTAAATTGAAATTTCCTCTTTTTTTTGTGTGTGTTTAAGAGGAAAATGTTTATATACGAAAGCTTGGAGATTGAAAATGCTTTTTAAAAAATTAATGTCTATTTTTAACTGCTTCATTTTATTTCTTTTTTTTAATCGTTTTGCTGTTTCCCCTTTTTCAATTGTTGACGTTTTTAATTCATTTCCTGAACATTTATTGTATGAAATGGATTTTTTAATTTTTCAAAAATTTTTAATTCAATTTACTTGATTTATTTTATTGAAATTTCTCTTCCTTTTTGTTTATTTTTTACTAAATTTGATAATTTAGACTTATTGTTGAAAATTTTTTGATTTTATTTATTATTCAGCAGGGAAAGAAAATTTTATTTAGAACAGTGATAATTTTCTTTAAAATAAAGAAAGTTTTCTTTGAAGCCTCTAAAAATTTCGATAATATAGTTAATTATAAGTATTAATAGTATTAATAGTAATAATATAATATTAATAATAAAATTAATTTAAAAAATAATATAATTAATTATTTAATTTTAACTAATATAAATATTCTTAATATAAAACTTAAAAATACACTTTTATAAAAATTGTTGATAAAAATATCAAAATTTATTTGTTGCGATGTCTAATTTAAATTAAATATTTAAATTTTTTGAGATACAGGGAAAAATTATATTTTCTGCGCTAGAAAAATACATTTCTTCTTGACAAATATAAAAAAGGGTTTACAATATTTTCTTTTTATTTTGTGAATATAATTTACTTGCGTCGTTCTGAATTGTTATCACAGTAGAGTATGTGGATACATTTTTCATTTGTGTTTCTTCGCTTATAACCAGATCGACAAACACAGCTCTGGAAAATATTTTCTGAAAAATTTATTTTGATCCAGTATAATAATTATTATTTCAATGATATTATAAAAAGACATTCACAATATTATTTATTATTAACTATCAACATCATCCTCAGGAGTATTTTCTATTTCTAAATCTATTTTTTTCAAAAAAACTTTAACAAAAATGATTTATTTCCAAATTAAAAAAATTTTTTTTATTGCACTGAAAAAAAATTTATTTGATTCAAATAACCGTTTGCTTGTCTATTATAAAATAAATATTTACTCGTATAAAATAATTTTTACTTGAATCAATTAAATTGTTCAGTAAATATTTGCTTCAAATACGGAAATAATTGATTCAAATACAATTTATTTATTTGATAATAGTCAAGTAATGGGTTATTTGAGTCAAAATAAATTTTCGTTTTTTAGTGTGTATTTATTTATTTTATAAATTATCGTCAAAAACAATTTGGATTTTATCACACGTTTAGCAGACATAACACTTCATATTAAGAGAAAGAAAAAACAAGAAATCGACATTTGTTTTGAAATTAGAGGATGAATATATATTGTTATGACAAATCGAAGAACGAATTTACTCTTATAATTCAATTTTTCTTCGAACAAAATTTAATCTTGAATTAGAGATCGTAAATTCAAATCTTAGCAAATGAAAATAAATTTTTAATCCTGGAGTCATGACTTATTGCGCGGAAACTTTGGAATGAACGCAAAAAACAAATTTTTTTCTTTTACTGTTTACATTATTTTTTACCACTTAATTTATTTGAAAGAAAGAAAACCAATTTAAATTAAGAAAATTAAGTATTTAAAAAATCGAAATTTATTTGAAAAATTAACTTTTCTCAAAACCGAAGTTTACGGATTTTGAAAAAGTTGATTTTTAAAAAGCAAATTAGCAATTTTAAAAATAATAGAATTTAAAAATTTTCTTATTTAAATTTTTGTTGAAAACACTGAAAAAAAATTGAATTTTGGAGAAATGAGAAATAATTGCAGAAATTCAATTATTTTTAAAAAACAAAATGCAATTTAACTATGTTCAAAAATTGAAAAAAATTCTCGTAAAAATCTCAATTATCTTTATAAATAACAAAATTCTTCACCAAAGTTCAATTATTTTCATAAATGTCAAAAAAATTCTTGTCCTAATTTCAATTATTTTCAAAAATTTTTCTATTTTCAATATCTACTATTTTCATAAAATTTCCAAAAAAGAATTCAATTATTTAAAAAAAATTTTAATAAAATTGTATGCAAACATTTAATTATTTTCATAAATTAATAAAAATTTCACAGGAATTCAATTATTTTTATCAATAATAAATTTATTTTAAGGAATTCAATTAATTTTATAAATAATAAATTTTTTTTAAGGAATTCAATTGATTTTATAAATAATAAAATTTTTATTCTGGAATTCAATTAATTTTATAAATAATAAAATTTTTTTTAAGGAATTCAATTAATTTTATAAATAATAAATTTTTTTTAAGTAATTCAATTATTTTCATAAAAAATAATATAAATTCTAGAAAATAATAATTGAATTAAAATGATGAAAATAATTTTGATGAAGTTACAATAACAATATTCTTATAATATAAAATAATGATTTTATCTCTCGGTCATCTTTAATTATTATAAAACATGAAGAAATCGATCACTCCGAGTCTTCGACTCGGAGCAATCGATATCTTCATGTTTTATAACAAAACCTTTATAAGTTGTTTAATTTAAAAAACGTTAGAATTTTAAATTTTTGAATGTCTTAATTCCGGTGGAAAATCCAGTTCCAAAAATAAGATACAAAAATAGAAATTGTGCGAATATTTTTCTTCTTTTTCTAAAACAAAATAAATAACTTTTGTTAAAAAAAAAAATTGTGACTCATAAACAAAAATAATGCAAAATAAATAAATTTTCTATTTCTTAATCACAATTGTTTAACAATTTTTTAACTCTGTTTAGAAGTAAAGAACGAAAATCTACATAATTTCAATTTGACAAAACATTCAATTTAACAAAATTTTAGTCTTTTAATGAAAAGAAGTGGAAAAAATTCCGATCATTTCTATTTGTCATTACAATTTTGAATTAATTAGAAAATAAAAATAATTATAACATAATTATTATTATTACAGTTAATTATTTAGAATTCGCTTCATATCGCTTGTGAGAGAACTTTCATGCCATCTAGGCGGCAATATGAAGAACTATTGGCGCGAAATTTGAAAAAAATTTAATTAATAGTTTATTAATATTAACAATAGATAAGTAATGAATATAATTAATACATTCTAATAATATTTCATAGAATCTTTTCATTAAAATAAAGTTAAAAAAAATACATTTTCATTTTTATATAGAATAAAAAAAATTGTTCCAAAGCAAAAATAATTTTTCTCATATATTTCTTTGTGGATGTATTTATTATATTAAATAATTCTTGAAGAGAGTAATTTCTATATTAAAATGAATACACAAAGTACAAACGGATAAAATATAAAGTTATTAAAGAAAAGCTTTGCTTTTATCTAAAGCGGTAGAGTCAAAGGCTTTCTCTCTCATTTCGAAAATGAGATTTTGGTTCGCTGATAAACGGAAAGTTTTAGCGAAATAATTAAGCAACCCCATTGTCTCGATTTGGACTTTATTAGATGTTTCTCCCCCCTTTTCTTGTTCTCTCTCTCTCTCTCTCTTCTTTTTATCCTCTTTTTGTTTCTTTCTTTTTATCTCTTTTTTCTCTCTATTTTTTTCGTTCCTTCCTTTTTTTTCTGTCTCTCTTTTTCGCTCTCTTCTTTATCTCACTAATAGTTTATATTTCAGGTCCAATTTTCGTAAACTCTTTTTCTCTCTCTCTCTCTCTCGCTCTTTTTTTTCTCTCTTTTGCTCTCTTTCTCTCTCTCTTTGCGATGATGCGAACAGTAAATGTCAAAGTCGAAGCCGGTTGGCGAGTCGACAGAAGCAGTGTGCTTCACTCGACCAACCTCCACAACTTCCTCCCACCCCCGACGACGATTCTTTACCCTACGCGAGGGTCGGAGTTCATTGTGCTACGAGTGCATGCCGCGTAGCGACGGCGTCAATTGATGCGACACACGCTCTCGTCCCTGAGTGAACCAACTAGTTCTCCAACATCCGGTCACCAAATAGCAACTTGTCCGCAACACTTCATTTAATCCTCCCGAAAAAAATATCATGACCCGCATGTCATTTGCTCACTGTGTCTCGCAAACTTAAATTTATTATTCCAATATACGCCGGTTATTTTTCGCCACTCTTCAAATTAAATAAACACTCAACTATAATTGTTAATTTGCGATAATTAAAAAATACACACTACCGAAAAATAAAAATTAAAAAAATATACTTAAAAGTATAAATAAAAACATAAATAAAAATATAAATAAAAACATAAGTAAAAACATAAATAAAAATATACCTAAAAGTATAAACAAAAAAAAAAAATTACTAAACTTATAAATAAAAAAAGTCCAAAAAAAGTATATAAAAATAAAATTAAAAATATAAATGGAAAAAGACCCAAAAAGGACAGAAAAATATAACTAAAAATATAAATAAAAACAGACCCAAAAAGTTATTAAAAATATAACTAAAAATATAAATTAAAAAGACCCAAAAAGTTATTAAAAATATAAATAAAAAAGACCCAAAAAGTTATTAAAAATATAAATAAAAAAATACCCAAAAAGTTATTAGAAATATAACTAAAAATATAAATAAAAAAAGACCAAAAAAGTTATTAAAAATATAACTGAAAATATTAATAAAAATGAACCAAAAAATATAAAAACAGACCAAATGATAAAAATTGATCGAAAATTATAAATAAAATCAGAAGTGAAAATATTGATAAAAACGGTCCTGAAAATATTTAAACTTTCTGTTAAATATGAAATACAAAGAGACATAAAAATATAAATAATAAAAAACTGTTATTAAAAAAAAAACTGTTAATTATTACTATTATCGAAAAATACGATTACTGTTAATTTTTCTCTTTTGTGATTTAAATCAGTTTGGCATATGTCATTTATTTCTCTATGAGTGCGAAGGAAACTCATCGAGAAACACGTGAGTGAATGGAAGTGAAGTTTTCCTCTTTCGTGATATATAGTGAATGGTCCGAGGACTATTATTTATTAGTTGAATCGTGATTGGTGTTTGGATTTCTTCCACCAAGGTGTGTATTTTCATCCATATAAATAACGCATCCAAATTTTTAAACCTAGCTCAAAATTAAAATCGAATAATTTGCACGCAAAGTGAACTAAATGAGAAAAAATATTTTTAAATTAAATTTTTTTTCGAAATATGAAAAAGAATGTATCGATTCTCTTTTTTGGGAAATAGAAAAATATTTTCTAAATCCTTTGTTTTTGGAAATAAAAAAAGAAATTCGTTTTTTTGGAAATAAAAAAGAAAAAAATGTTCAAATTCGTTTGTTTTTGTAAATAAAAAAGAATTAATTTTTTTGGAAATGAAAAAATGCTCAAATTCATTTTTTAGAAATTGAAAAAATGTTCTATGTAATTCGTTTTTGTGGAAATAACAAAAATGTTTAAATGTTTTGTTTTTAGAGATGAAAAAGAAAAATACGTTCTTTTTTTGGAAATAAGAAAAAGAATTAGTTTTTTTAAAATAAAAAAAATGTTCACATTCGTTTTTTTGAATATTGCAAAAGTCAAAATTCGTTTTTTTTTTGGAAATTGGCAGAATGTTTAAATTCGTTTAATTGGAAATAAAAGTGTTCAAATTTGTATTTTGGAAATAAAAAAAATGTTCAAATTCGTTTTTGTTTTTAGAAATAAAAAAAATGTTCAAATTCGTTTTTGATTTTAGAAATAAAAAAAAATTAGTTTTTTTTTGGAAATAAAAAGAAATTAGTTTATTTTTTGTAAATGAAAAAAAGAATTCTTTTTTTTTTGGAAATGAAAAAATGTTCAAAATTCGTAGGTTTTTGGAAATATGAATATTTAACACCATCATTGCTGAATGTATTTTTAGAAAATTTCCCAGTGACATGGAAAAAGTGTGAGAGCAAAAATTTATGATACCTGAGGTTATTTTATTTTATTCTATTTTTTTTTATTAGGTTAGTATTTCAATGATATGGATAGGAATATAAAAAATTTTTTTACCTTGATATTTCGGTATTTTTTAAATTCTTTTTTTAAATAAAAAGCTTCTGGAATTACTATTTTATTTTGGTTAGATTTTGCAATTTGTCCTTTATTTAAAAATATTTATTTGCATTTTTCCTTTTTTTTTAACATTTTTTCGTTTGTATAAAAAATTTTCGATTTGACATTTTTTGTTTGTTTGATTCTCTTTCGTTTGATTTCTTTTTATTCACTGTTTTTAGTAATTCTATTTTAGTTTTTAAATTTTCTTTTATATTTTTGTCTACTTTTTTTGTTTATTTTTTTTTTGTTTACTTTTCCGTAAAACATTTTATTGTTGTCAAGTTTTTATTGTATTTTATTATTATCAGCATTTATTGTAAGTAATAAAAAAGAAAATCTTATGTTATTTGTTAATTTTTCAGAATTTTAGTATATTTTTTTTATATTTTTATTTTAGTATTTTTATTTTTCTACTTATTTATACTTTATAGTATTTTGTTAATTTATTAATTTTTAAAAAAAATTTTATTATTTCATTTATTAATAATATTTTTATTGTCTAGTATATTTTTACTAAATTCACAAGTAAAAAACAAAAAGTTTTTCCTGTTTTCAAATACAAATTCTCCAATTCTTTTATTAAAAAAATGTTTCCTTGTAATGAGAAGAGAGAAAATTGTTTTCGTAATGAAAAATTTAGAATAACAAAAAAAAAAAATTTTTTAACCTTTTTGAAAAATAATCAAAACTCTTTTTTTTATATTGTGAAAAAAATTCTTATCTTTTTGAAAAATAATCAACAAAATTTTTTTAAAATGAAGTAGAAAAATGTGAAACAATAAAATTCTAAAGTTCTACTTTTATAGAACGAAATTAGTAAATGACAAAAAAACAAGAATTTGAAAAGAAAAAAATATTGCAGGGAACAAAAAATCATTCTCCTAGAAAAAAATCATTTTCATCGATTTTGAACCATATATTCATAGTTCAAGCTCTCGCTTCAATTGTTCCTCTCTTGACTCGCCAAGTGAACAAGCAGTAATAATTGCCCTTGACATAGTAATTAAATCGAATGATGAAAAAAATTCTACAGGAACTGATATAGAAATTTTTCTTTAAGAAAAAAAATTTTTCTCCACATTAATGCAATTTAAATTTTCACTCTCGAACTTTTTTTTCATAATTGGCGTAGTTTAAATTCTAATTTTCTCAAATAATATAGAATAATTGAAGTATTATTTATTTTAATGAGACACTTTTTGTAAGATTCGTTCAATTTTGAAATCTCTTTTTGTTAGAAAAAAATATATTTCTTCTTCTTTTCCTTTTTTTTTATTTCCTTTTATAGTTTATTTCACTTTTCTTTATTTTTCTATTTTTTGACAATTTTTTTTTATTTTTCTAGTTATTTTATACTTTTCTTTATTTTTCTATTTTTTTGACAATTTTTTTTTATTTGCCTAGTTATTTTCTATTTTTATTTTATTGCATTCTTTCTTCTTCAAATTTCATCCTTTTTTCTTCACACATTTTTCTTTCTTTTTTGGTTTCCTCGATTTTTCTTATTCCTAGTTTTTTTATTTTTCTTTCATTTTCTTCTTTCTTTCTCCACTGTTTTCTACTCTTTTCTAGTTTTTCCTATTTTCTTTTTGTATTTCTTCTGTCTCTAGATTCCTTTCTTCTTTTTCTCTAGATTTTTTTCCTTTTTCTTGTTCTTCCTAATTTTATTTCTTTTTCTTATTTTATTTTTTTTCTCTTTTTTTCTATTTTTCTACTTTTTTAAATTTTTTCCCTTTTTTAATCTTCTTTTTTCCTTCGTTTTCTAGTTTACTCTATTTTTCTTTCTTTTTCTATCTTCCATTTTTTCTACATTTTTCTTCCTTTTTATTTTTTCTTCTTTTCCTATTTTTTTCTATTTTACTTTCATTTTCTAATTTTCGTTTTTTTTCTTGTCTGTTTTTTTCTAATTTTTATTCTATTTTTCTTTCTTTTTCTATTTTTTTCCTTTTTCTACTTCTTCTTCTTTTCTCTTTTTTCTTCTTTTCCTATTTTTTTCTATTTTACTTTCATTTTCTAATTTTCGTTATTTTTTTTCTAATTTTTATTCTATTTTTCTTTCTTTTTCTATTTTTTCGTTTTTCTACTTTTTCTATATATTTTTTCTTCCTCTTTCTAGTTTTTCCTTTTTCTAGTATTTTTTAATTATCTTCCTTTTTCTAATTTTTGTTCTACAATAAATTTTTTTTATTTCTATTTTTCTTTCATTTCTTTCTTTCTTCTTCAAATTTTTTCCTTTTTCTACTTTTTTTCTATTTTTCTTTAGTTTTCCAGTTTATTCTACCCTTCTTTAATTTTTTTATTTCTTTTCTGTTTCTTTCTTTCTCCAGTTTTTTCAATTTTTCTTTATATTTAAAATTTTTTAAAAAATATTTCCTTCTTTTTCAAATTTTATTCAGTTTTCTTTATAGCTTTTTATTTCCTTTTTTAGCATTCTCTATTTTTCTTTCTTTCTTTTTCTACATTTTTCTTCCTTTCTCCAGTTTTTTTTCTATTCCTAGTTTTTTCCATTTTTTTTTCTTTTCTTTCTTTCTCGTTTTTTTCTAATTTTCTTTCATTTTTAAGATTTTTATTACCTACAGTTTTTTCTATTTTTCTTTCTCTTTCTTTTTTTCGTGTTTTCTACCTGTTCTTAGTTCTTTCTGTTTTTCTTTTATTTCTTTCCTTCTTTCTCTAGTTTCTTACTTTTTTATTGTTTTTTTTCTATTTTTCCAGTTTCTTTCTTTCTTTTTGACATTTTTCTAGTTTTCAACTAATATTCTTTCGTTTTCAAATTTTTTCATTTTTCTTTTTTTCTATTTTGTCTTCTTTCTTCTAGTTTTTTTTCTATTTTTTCAAATTTTTTTCCTTCTTCTTTCTTTTCTTTATTCTTAGTTAGTTTTTCTAGTTTTTAAAAACTTTTCTTTCTTTTTCTTTCTTTCTTTTCTTCCTTTTTATTATCCTTTCTCTAGTTTTTTTCTATTTTTCTTTTTTTTCTTCGTTCTTCCTTTCTAATTCTTTCTTCTCTTTTCTACTTTTTTCTTTCTTTTTTAGTTTTTTTCCTTTGTCTAGTTTTTTTCTTTTTTCTTTCATTTTCTAATTTTCTTTCCTGTTTCTTTTTTTTTTGGTTTTTTTATTTTTTTCTTCTAATTTTTCTTTCTTTCTTATTTTTTATATTGTTTTCTTCTTATTTTTATTTCCTTTTTCTACTTTCTTCTTTAATTTTCTCATTATTTTGTCCTTATTTTTTCATTCATTCGATTCTTATCAGTGTGAAATATTTATACTTTTCTAAATATAAAAGAAAACTATATAATTAACGAGATTACACAATAAATTGTCGATTCCCATAAACTATATCATTGTTATATAGCACGAATGAGGTAAACCGTAAATATTTTCAATGCGGTCGTTATGTATATATCGTCCGTCACGCTCTATGAAAATTCCTAGCAACATGAACTGCAATTAGGACAGTCGTCGTCGGTAACAATTGCCCTAAGTACAGCGGTTACTCACTCCTATATATCCCTTTTTGTCGCCCGTAATTCATTTGAGCGCAGTTGACTTAGTCATCTACAAACACGTGTGTACACATTAATGAGCAACTGCAACTGCGGAAAGTGCATTTACATAAAAAATAACTAACAAGCGGAAAAAATACGCTAAAAGGCTTTTTCAAGTTTGTGGTCGGGAAAAAAAGCAAATTCCCATACTCCCACTTTACTTTTCGTATATATATACACTGTATGTACTTTTGCACCAGTTTTTTTTTGTTTTTATCATTTTTTATTTAAGGAATTTCAAAATACTATTTACAAAGTTCAAAATTGTGGAAAATATTTTTTTCAAAAACTAACAATTTTTATTAACTAATATAAAAATAATTTTTAATAGCAAATACAAATTTAATTTTCATTAGCCATTATAAATTTAGATATCATTTTAATTATTAGCATAACAAATATAAATTTAATTTTTTTTTTGTTAATTAACAATAATTATCAATTCAAAAATAAGT